ATTCATGTTAAACGAAACGTTATGCTCAATCGAATCGTTCTTGTCTTCCATGCTCATGCGATCAACGTTATTCGAAAGTGAGGATTCTTCATCGAGCGTTTCTTTCTTACTTTTCACGTATTTTTCTAAAATTTCGAAATCTTTCGTCGTATCAGAGATATGATCCAGTAACATGTTTTCTCCGTCGAAAAGATACGTATTCTCTTCCACGATAGAAGCGTTTTGCGGGATAACGATACTTGGGTCTTCGTCCCAGTTATCGCTATTCCACTGTTCTAAAGAGAGGTTTTCTTCCATAAATCTAGTAGAGTTCATGGGTGGTCCAGGTTCTCTGTTCCAATCATCCACTTCGTCCGAGGCAGAATAATCGTTAGACCAAAGTTGTTCTTCCACGGCACTGTAATCGGAGAATGTAGAACGAGGAGGCACTATTACAACTGGTCCAAATTCACGGTTTACAACCGACCAATCGGCTTCTTCTAAAATTGTTCTTAATACATCTATCGAAATGTGAAACGAGCTCAGCATTTCCCATAACTTTTTCAATGGCACTTCTTCCTCCATACTGATATCTTGAAACGATAGGTGTCGGATGTAATACGTTGCTTCGTCGAGGATCTTTTGTTCATCGGAACGAATGTCTACGCGAAATGGATATTCGTGTACGGCGACAGTTTTAAATAAACCTTCTATGCCCAAATTACAATTATCTTTTTCGGTAAGGCGATGAAATACCGCCATTTGAGTACAAGCTCCTAAATGCTCTGTGCCCTCTGGTCCTTTACAAATACCATCGAACGTTACTACGTAATCTGGCCATTTCGACGTGATATTTTCTGCCCTATTAAGATAATATACTTTTAATACCATAAGGTACCTATAACTCTAGGTTAAAATAATTTTTCATTTACCAGTCTTGAAACTGTTGTCTAGTCCACTCAAACTTATGATCATGATGCCTGAATCCAGAAAAGTTTGGAAACAATACATTGAAGTCTGCATTTGGTGTTGTTATAATTGCTAATTTTGGCTTGATGAAGCCAAAAATATTTTGTGGAAGTTCGTTCAATGTATCTGGATACAAATGCTCGATCCTGAAGCATCAATATATTTGTTGTACCTTCCGTAAAGTAATAATATATGTACTTTAGTTTTCTATTATTCGAAAACTAAAGCCAACAATAAGTTCCAATGTTAAATAGCAACCCACAATTCTATACAAATCACAGCATCCGTCTTTTCTAATTTTTTGTCATTGTGAGTAACACTACCCTCGCATACTTCTACTGTAAGGGGTGTTGTCCTGGTATGTAAATATTCAGAAATCAATGGAGCACTCTTATCTTTGTAAGTTTCTAGTAGGGATCTGTCTGTATCTACGCATAATATTTCCTCTATACCACTTATATTCTTTAGATAAACCAGAAAGCCAAGTTCCGAGCATCCGAAATCAACTACCTAAAAACAACAATTACAGAATTCTATATAAAGACATTTAAAAACATATGAATAAATTTTAGGAATCTTTACGCGTTCGTTGAAACACCTTTCATAATCAATGAAACTCCTAGTTTTGTATGTAAATTATTTGCGAAATCTTTAATTTAGGGGTAACAAAATAGTTTACGAATCTGAAACGTTATCCATAACAAAGAAAAATGCGATCTTCGCGACAACCTAGTCGACAAAACGGAGCAATGGTGTGTGAAGATACCTTGCGTAATTTTCCTTGATATTTGGGACTAGCTAGAATGTCGCTCACGGCAGTGTATCTTTGTACATAAGCCGGAGGGAAGAATCTTATATTATTTTCTTTTTCATCGTCCTGCGGGGCCTCAGGATCTATCATTCTATAAACCCTATCAGAGATTTCCAATTGTTTCTTCGAATCAATCACTGCATCATCGTCCATGGTCTTTTGATTTTTGACCCCGTATTTCTGATAAACGAATTTCCCGAGAAGATAAAGCACGTGGAACAGCACGATGATCATGTCAGTAACGAAAATTAATTACGCCTCTTTTAAATCGCTAAACAACCTTCACCAACGCATTCCGGTCTGCTCTCCGTTGTGCGTAGTAGCGGCCATGATGTTTTGTTTTGGAAAACCGCGAACCATGAGACTTGCCCAATTGGTTAGGACCATTTGAAATACAAATTCTAGCAGATCATCTGCTTAGTCAGTGCGAGCTGGCTTCATAAGCGACATAAAACTGTCCTCGAATATTCATGCAGTTTAAGAATTAAAGAATCAAGTAAAATTATTAACATATATCTATTTTATCCATTTCATGGGGTGCGAAAAGCTATCGCCATCTCGCGTCGAGAAGCTGGAACTAATTTTCGATCTCGGATCCGGAAAAACTTTTATTTACTCGTAAATATGCATTTAATATCGCTCATAGCGTTTGGCGAATAGACTAGAACAGGCATAGTACTTATTAATAAACAAAACATCCGCAACATCTCTAAATTAATAAAAAAGAAATATACTGTAATGTCGGTATTTTTTTACAACGCCATCTGTGGCAAAATGCCTAAGCTTGTCGTAAAATAGTTCCTTATTTATGTCAACAGATGGCGTTATCTAGTATCTTTTTATCAACATTAGTTATTTAATTTAATTACGAGTTATATAATTATCAGTTATTTATTATAATTAAATGCAATAATTAAATGCATATTTGTGTGCGAATAAATTTAAAAGAAGAGTTTATCTTTAATGTTGGAAAAGATCCTAAATAGCGTCATCTATTGACGCACATAAGGTACTATTTTACGACAAGCTTGAGCGTTTGGCCACGGATGGCGCTGTAAAAAATACCGACATTACTATGCATAAATGGATTTTTTTAAACAAACAAAGTCATCCTTGCGCAGGGGCCATGCTTCTCTGTATCGTTCCAATTCTAGTATATGTACTGTCGAAGCAAGTACTAAATAAACAAAATATTTATACATACTGCGCAGAATTAATGTTTAAATGAAGTAATTTCAAGAATAAAAATATAGTACAAGTCTTACGATCAAACGATTACGATCAAAAATATCTAATGTATGTTAATAAATGACTTTGGCAGAGTTAATGAACGAAAAGAGTGGTTTAAACAAGACCGTTAATTTTATAGTTGCTCTTGAATGACTTGCCTGTATTAAGAATTAAACGTATTAAAAAAATATCTTCGTAACGATGGTTAAGGAATTTTCAAAGTTGGGTAAAAAGAAATAAAGAACGATCAAGACGACACGAATTAGCATTATAATTTATTTGAGATTTATTTATAATTAAAATAATAATGCAGTAATTATTGATATCGGTAGCAGTCTACTAGTTTCCTAAGAAAGCGACGGTATACACGTTACAATGTTTTACATAAATTAAAATAACGATCGACTTTCTTTACACGCTTGCCACGTGTATACTTGCATGCCTGCGAACCGACGTGACTGAGGCAACTCGTTTCATCGTCGACAATAAACAAGTACACAGTTTTCATACAATATTTCATATACATATACATATATTTATATTCTCATGTACTCGTATGTACCATTACTTATAAGTATATGCATTTATAAGCGCGCAAGTTACATTATGCACGAGATCTCTCGGTGGCTGTTATGCAGCCTACAGGAACATAAAACTCGATTTCTCTATCGTTAAAATTTATTATTCTTCGCCAACGCGACCTATCTATTATACATGATAATCTTGCAGAATTTCGAGGAGTTTTAACTTAGTTTAAAATATTGCATATGGGAATTCTTTCGCCTTATTTACAAAAGAATTGCCAGTTAGTTTTCTTTCTTTAATATAATATTATATATATATATATATATAGGTTTCCTTATTCACTCTGTTTTATTTAAAAAGTGGGGATTGTCGATAGCTTCCCTGTACCATTTTCCGTTCGAGAATCGAAAAAAAACATTTACCTCGAACGGAACGCGGAAATAGAAAACGTTCTATCGGTAGTTCTTTTAAAATTAAGGACAGGTACCCGCAAGAAGAATTTTCTGTGCCTCGATACTCGCTAGAGATGGATAACTTACGAAAAATAATCCGCGTTGCATTGTTTATTCCGTAAATGCGTCCTATACATAAATATTGATTATCTTCGGTACATATTCAATGATTGGAGCTAGTAGGGACAGTAACGTAATAGAAGACATTTATCAAATTTAACCCGTCGAACAAGAACGCCTGAACGTCTTGCAGTTGCTTGCAGATGTACAGTGTAGTCTGTACAGGATGTTACAAACATTTCAATTTTGAAAATTGTTAGTTCTAATTGAGTTTGTGGAAAGACAGAAAGATACCACGCTTAATTGCTGCAATATAGTTTACTTGATATAGATAATACATTCTCGAAAAAGTATGTATTTAGATCATGAGCTGCGAACGAATAAATCGAGTTTCCATAATTCTTTCGTACGTCGAGAAGCAATCAAGACATTCAAGTGTTCCTGTTTGAATAGCCCGCTGGTATATATTGACGACTCTCGATTAATTTGTATATAGCGTTTAGAAAAATTGAGCTGAGGCCTTCCCTTTTTTCTATAAAAAAAAAAAAAAAAAAAAAACCATGTATACACCAGAGATAGGAAAATTTTTTACCTGGATAAGATGATGGATAGACTATTACGGTGTCTTTCGAGTTCGCCTGATTATTTTACGGGGAATAAATAAATAAATAAATAAATAAATAAATATCGTAGGCATTTTACATTATGTGTGATCTCTGTGGAGGATCTCTCACGTTTTTTTGCAAACAGTCATCTTTGAACTAGAGTTACTCGCAATTCGTCGAATACCTCCTTTGCTTTTGGTGAAATACAATTTTTAATAAAAACAGTTCCCGACCCGTTACGATTATTGGAAGAAAATTTCACCTACCTCTGGTGAACAAGCATCGCATTCCTCGTCGACGAGGAATGATCGTAATTGACAAAATGGGAACTATACGAACGTTGAAGCGCTGGGTGGTCGTCGCGTGCACGCAAACACGGCGTCGAATTGTGGCTCGTGCCAGACCTTCAAAGGGAACAAGAGAGAAACGGTACGAGAATGGGTTGAAATGGAAAAACCTATTCTCCAAGGTGTCTTCGATAATTTGATCAATGACTGTATAAGTGAAGCGCGGAGTTCCAGGGTTAATATATTCTCGTCTCGCCTGCTAAGGGTAAATACTCGAATGTCTGCGGCTCCGACGACGGAGAGAGCGATAAAATTGTTGATTGTACAATTTGGCAACGCGGTTTCGTGGCGGCGCAAAGTTACTCTCTCGCTGAAGGGAAGATGAAGCCGAGAGGAAACAATCAAGCGAAAATTGCCACGCGACCGGCAATTCCTTCGATTATTTCTCTGCTCCCTTCCCGCTGGCACCACGAGAGTGGCGCATTGTTAGAGGGGAGGTTTATTATTTTAATAGCTCGTCATTATTATTCATACAAAACAAAGAACGAAAGACTTGCATTGTTTCTATTTTTAAGAATCCACGGTGAGTTACTTTGAAATCGATTCGACTCTTTTGTAAAAGAAAAGTGTGAGAGGATATGAAAAATAAAATTAATTATCACGAACCTAGAAAATTCAATACTTTACAGCCCTTCCCTGTGTTCCAGATTTAGATGAGTTCCCCACCCCCCTCTCTAAGCTGTTTATATCTCGCCCTGTCTAACGCGCCACCATCATCCTCGCGACAATGACTATCACTAAAACAACCGTGCTCGTATTACAATAAAATCATTATATATATCACAAGTGGCTGAAAATTGTCCACGCGACGCGTGAGGTTTTCTAATTTAATTCTCGAGACACTACAGTAAATATCACATGGAGCGATGAGAATTTCAATTAAATACACCGCCGCGACCTCTTGGCGCGACTCTCGGCGTGATAAGAGCGAAGCAGTTTTATCAGCGTTCGGTCGACCGTGATCGCCGTGCTCGAAAGAATTCCTATAACATAGTTTCAGGAGGTACGAGGTGGACCTTATTCAGGCGTAAGACTGATCCAACGATATAGCGATTTTGTTCCCTTTCTCGGCCCAATTTCTCAGACGGCCCCTCAGTTCCTCCAAACTCTTTGATTTCGCCTTGTTTATCCTTTTGTACTTCACGTCTTTCGGCTTCGTCACCGATCTGTGGTTGCTCATTACCCTGTTGTACGTCACCTGAAAGCAAACGGGACGTATAACGTAGTAGCTACTATCGAGTGGATCTGTTGGTTTGTTTTTCTTGTGCGTTAAAGATTTAGAAGCGACACTTTGGAAGAGCTCGGTACATAAATTAAATACGATCAAGATTCAAACTCGAACAAGAAGCTTTTTAAACGAGCTTGTTAATTAATTGTTCAACAGCGTGCATTGTACAAGCCTACGTAAAAGTGAATGATTTACGCCTGCTGCTAAGACTCATACTCGAATCGAAGGAACAAAGGGGACAGAGGACTCGTTTAACATTGAACAAGCTTATTAATTAATTTCGTGTCGCAAGGGTCGGGATGAAAGCTCACCTGCGCCTGCTGACTCTCATCCCTGGGCCTCTCGGTGGGCGGCGAGTCCGCCTCTTGAGCTAGTCTCTCGAAGCTGCCGTAAAGATCTTGAAGTCTGCCCTTCCCGTTCCCGAAGTTCTTCGTCCGACGCTCCTCGCACTCGGAGTTCTCCGTCGACTCGGACGGGTCCTGATTGTTCTCGCTGTCGCCGTCCTCCTCCACCGAGTAAACAGTTTCCAGGATTTCCGGCCTTCTCAGGAACCCGTTGCACCGGCGCATCGACGAGTATTTGCTCGATGGCTCCACCGCGTCCGACACAGATCGGATAACCGTCACGTCGGTGATGTTCGAGCGAAACCTGAAAACGAACCAACGGGACGCCCTTGGAATTAATATTAATCGATAAAATAGGTAATTAGGTAGTGCAGAGTGTTAGAAAAGAGTGCTTCGTTTGAGGTGGCACTACTCTTTTCTTGGTCAAAACATAGATATTTTATTTTACGTATCACTTAAGGTTTTATGATACGCGGTAACATAAATTTCAAAAGTGTGGGTCGAGTGCTTAGTGTTGAAGGAATTAAAGTAAAAATAACGTACCCGTATATAGTGTAAATAATTATATATATATATTTAAAAGAGCAAACGGTGGAAGACAATATAAAAGATATTCTAGGTGCAGGGACATAAGCTGCACTTGTCAGTACCTGGTTAGCTGACAGTCATAAAAGACCAGAGAGGACGAAAATAACTAAGTGTATATCAGGTGTAGAGTTTTCAGAAACGAATGAAATCGTTAGCTTACTTCAACACTTAGCTCGCAAGAAAATATTGAAAATCGTCTCGAAACTGGCAAAGAAAAAGGGCGGGTTTTAAGGGATGAAGAAGTCAAATACCTAGGGGGTGCCAGGTCGTCGGCAGTCTCCTCGAGCACGACGGCGCTGTCGCTGTCCCCCAGGCTGTCCAATCTATCTAGAGCATCGCAAGGTGGCGAGTCCCTTGTGCCGGTGTTTCTTTCCGCCAATCTACTCTGCAGTTGTCGAATCACCCTCTGTTGTCTGAGTATAATAGACTCTCGTTGCGCCAGGCTAGCCTCGATCTCCTTCTGCTTCCGGCAGAGCCTCGACTCGAACAGCAGCAGCTGCGAGGATAACGTCCTGAGCTGCTCGGCCTTCTCCCTCGTCAGCCGAGCCACCAGATCCTCCTGAAACAATTATAAATGTTCATTTAGCAGACGATAATTAATACGATAGAATATTTCTGGTACTTTCGTAACGTTCGTTGTTGTATATGTATCTCAAGAAGCGTGTAATAAAAATCACGAACGAATCTGTTAAAGATGTATAAATGTTTTTAATTTCGTTCGCTGAGCCGCTTCTCGAATCAAAAAATGAAAAAATCGGTGGTCGTGGGAACGATTACGTTTTAATTAGCCAGTTCAGACTTCACCTACAGTTCCTGTATAAGCTCTCGTATAGGCGAACGCCGCGTATATGCAAAGAGAACACTGTCGACGTTACGTTAATTAATAATTTCAGTTAGCAGAGTAAACTTTCCTTCCTGCTGGCGTGCAACCACTCAGCGATGATTAAGCACGGTGCCCCGCTATTAATGGCCAGAATGTCGTATGAATATCGCTCGGGGCCAAAGATCTTTTTTCACTTGGAATCGTTTTTATCACCTCGCGGGGTCAACGTACGATAAATACCGGATGGAAAAGCGTGGAAGCAAGCTTGAAAGAAATTTTCATGAAAAGATATGACGGCTGTTACGCCGTTAACCTCGTATAAAGGGTGAAACCGGATAAGGGGGAAAAATTCGCCTCCGAACCAAACTCCAATTGCGATGGGTTATTCGATAGCTTACGGAGAAAATATTTCAATATTTTTTATATTACTCTATACTGTGCGCATTTTGTAGTTTTTTGCACGTTTATCCCATAAATGCTTTAGATGATCCGGAGATGGAAAGTCATGCACGGACGATATATTAACCCTTTGCACTCGAGGCCTTTTTTTCTGGTATTTAGCAGCAACACGAGATGCTTTCTTAGCATTCTATTGCCACGAATGCTAAGATTATATTGACTTCGAAAATGAGATCTCGAATTTGAGATCTGAGAATCAGGTCACCTTTGCCTCAACGACAATCATTTTATTGGCACATCGAGTTCCAAAGAAATGAAAGAAAACCTAGCGGTGACTGAGTGTACAACCTTTCGAGTGTAAAGGGTTAACACTGAACCCTAGCCACGTTCGTTTGTTACTATTTCTACCGTGATCGATCGAATGACTTGAAGACACTTTTTTCTGTTAAATGGAAAAATATATTTTACACGAAATGGAATTGAATAACGCGTGAAATAATTCCATGTAAGAAATATACACCAAAGTTCGAAAATCTAATCGCGCTGAGCTCAATATCAATAAATAAATAAATAAATATTCGAGTATCCGTTCCACGTCGAGCTCCACCGCCTTTCCTGCCGTTCTTCCTTCCCACAAGAAGGACGAGGCCATTACTGTTGGCATTGTCTCGCGTAAACGGCAGTCCCGTAAAACGTCCACGCGACGACGACCACTCGGCATTCTTTCACGGCGCGAGCGCCGTTGCGCTTCGCGATGCAGAGCTCGTAGAAAAACAAGCACCGAACGGTCCTTTCAACTCCGATCATGCAGCGCACGCCCGTCGTAGGAGTTTCTCCGTTTCCTTTCACTCGCTGCGCGAAAACTATAATCGCCTGAATTTCTGGAGAACAAAGAAACGCTTTTCTCGTCATCGAGCGGACCTTTTAGCCGAGACGCGACTCGAACAGACTTCGCGCACGTATACATACGTATCATGTACGAGTATACGAATATCTTATACAGTAAATATATTTCCTCGTCTAAGGAGAACCTCTTTAGTGTTTCATAATTATGATTACTCTCAATAATGAGAAGAAGACAAATTTGATAATAATAAAAAAGAAAAGTTATCCCTGAAGAGGTTAAATTCGAACTTTTTGGCCAACCTAATGCTCGTTCTGCCACGATGGATTCGAATAGTAGAGCAGCCCCTGAATTTCGAGGGATGGTTTTCTTTCTTTTTCTTTAACTTCCCTACGGTTAGTAGCAGATTATCTCCGGTCACGCAAAGTCAGAAGGGGAATAGTCGAACGTCACGAGACCGTCTGGCCTGTCCCGGAAGCACGCGGCCGGCTCTTCAAAGTTTTACCAGATAATGGGGCCCCGATCGTTCAACAGCCACGCTGTTTTGCAGAAGCAGTCTGCTCGTAGGTAATTACAGATACATCTGCCTTTTCCCTCCCTATCGGTATCAATCTGCGCGCGGCTTACCTGCAATTTCAGGGTCCTCCTCCAGGCGAGCATCTGATGCGCCTGTGCCCTCTGTCTCGCTCGAAGGGCCGCTATCACCGACTTGGCCTCCTCCAGCGACGTCACTTCCGTCTCGATGCAATCCTTCGGCGAGTCGCTCGCTCTTCCCTCGGTGATCGCCGACAGTGGACAACTGTCCATCGACGTCTCGTCGAAGCTGAAACCAGAAATTGAAAAATTCCTTTTATTTCGGGCTCGAGTACTGTTTCTCAATAGTATTCTTAATTTTGAATCATTTTCTTTAAGTCTGGCGTTGTTCGTGGGATATTTTTGCTCGTACGAAGCTAATCGCAACAGATATTTAGTTGTAATGTACAGAATCGAGAACGTGCATACTTCAAGAATTTTGTCGAAGATTTAAGCACATATTTTGGAGACATACTTCTGATTATTGTAACAGTAATTATTCGAATTAACGATATAGAATGTCGCATGCTGTGTCGGTTTTCGTGAGCGTTGATTTTTTTTATTTTCTTGTGTTCCTAGAAGAGAATCAAAAGAATATTTCGAGCTTTTAGAGCAACCCCGTCGAAAGTTGCAACTGAATTAATCGAGGGAACAGTGTTTTTTTGTTTTTTTTTTTTTTTAATCGATACGAAAGTTTGTTAAGAGAACTCTCAACTTTAACGTGCGGCACTCTGCGAGAGGCTCGAAAGTTGGGGAACGATGAAACGTTAATAACCCTCTAAGTAATTTTAAGTAGCAGGTCGATATCGCGTGATCGCTTTAGCAAAAGAAGGTTGGTACGGGCGCAGGTAGTCGAACCTTTGTCGAGTTCTGGTTCCTTTGAATATCCTCTCAATAATTGCGATTCCTTTTTCCCCAATATCATGATGTCTCCAGTATCGCTATTTTATTTAACAAAATCTCAATAAAAATAATTTGTGTATTATCCGATACACGCACAATAAACACCATCGAACAGATCTTCTATTGAATTAATTGTTCTCGAAACAAACATTTGTTTGATATTTCTACGACTTTAACGTCTCCGAGGTAGCTTCCTTCCCTAAATCCTTCTCGATTTTAATATTTCCCATTCCATTGGTCTTGCCCTGAAATTTCGTTCACCCTTTCGTTGGACATTCCTCGGTACGTTCAATTTTAATTCGCTACAGTTTTTCTCCGAGTAATATACCTATATATCCATCCACTCGTTCATCGATGCGAGGGAGTGGCTTCGTTTCAAACCGTTCGACGGGTCGCCATATATTTTAATGAAACGTAGCAACGGTTATGTGCCGAGAGCTATTAATTAAACGCTAGCTGGAAATCAGATGCCAGGGAAAATTTGACCCACGAGCTTTTCCGCACCGTTTGCCGCGTTGATTGAACGTTATTGATTTTCCATATATCCGCGAACGAGTTTGCGTTTGATAGATCATGCTCGAGATTGTACGTGAGGAACGGGGGGGGGGGGGGGGGGGGTCGTAGAAAACTATTTGCGTCGATATCGGTTTGGAAAACGAATCTTTGTACAATACTTTAAAGTGTCCTTAATGCGCGTGCATTTGTACAATGTATGCGCGAAAATTCCTCGAGTACTTTCGTGATTGGGCACGACTTGGATAATGCGTCTGACCATTACTCACTCTTTCTACTAGCGCGGATGTTTTCAAGCGGCGCCGACTAAACTGTGACGAGACATTACGCGGCTCTTTCGACTGGTTCGGAGTACAGAGAAGATCGATGGGAAAGACGCGAGTGAAAGCAGCCAGTGATGGTGCAAGTTATTATTATCTACGTCGATTTAAAGGATTATCAACGTTCTGTTGATGATTGCTCCGAATCTATCTCGAATTACGTACACATTTATATACTATTATATATACTTTGAAATAATCCTGCCATTCAATCGCATAAAACATCGCATGTTACTTTATATATTTATCCACGAATGCAATAATCATAAAAAAAAAAAAAAAACTAAACAACGAATATCGCAAAGAATCCATTCAATGTTGGAATTTATTCGGAGCATGAAAAACTATTTTTAGGATCTTTCACATGCGAATGGTAATGACGTTTCATCGTTTAGCTATTTTGCGATATGGAACGTTAGTAACTTGGATCTCGGATATCCCTAGTCGCGTCGTACGGTAACTAATTAGCGTACACGTTTAATACCTAAAATAATATCCCGGGCATTCGCGGCTCATACGGTCGTTCGAGTAATTAACAATGGCAGTATGTATGCCACGTTACGACTGAAGACCAAGAGCTTATTTAAGCCCTGTCAAAGACAACTGTGATATTGGCGAAACGTCAGGGAGCCGTTCAATTTAAACACACGGCTGCCACCTGCATAATTTGTCCATTTATTTGCCTATTAAACAGGAACGAGCCTTACCACGCATCCGAAACTGAATAATTTTCGTTCTTCAGAGAGCCATCGTAATAAAAATGATCGTATCAGGTAGACTGCACCAATCCAATCCTAACAATATTTTAATTAGCGACACCTGATTTAAAAAATACGATATATAAAATTATGGATAGCGATCCACTGATACGTTGATCTATTCTTTATGTAAGAGAAAGTATAATTATAATGAAAAGTATAACAACGACCTGAAATTTTAGATCGAGACTTCGCTATTTATTAAATTTCTGACTCATGCTCTGCAGTGTAACGATGTAAAATAAACAAACAAAAGTAGAGAAGAAACTTTAATTTCAACCGATTCATTTTTCATCGAAAGCTGCTTCATCGACAACTTTAAACGGAAGTACCTCAAATTTGAATACCTTTTCCATCGTCACGGCGTTGTTCCCTGTACACGGCCAAAGGAGTTAAAATTATGCAGAACTCGAGGAGATTGAACACCTCCATATTGTAATTTATTGGACCGACGGTCGGTTATTTTCGGCCGCGTTAACGCTCGAGAAGCCGCTTCTCCGAGAAATTGCATTCCTCGATCCCTTCCTCGCGTTTCAGACAGCTCTGATAGCGATGCATATTATTATTCTCGACCACCTATGATGGAACGTAATTTCTATTCGTTGTTCCGCCTTAAAAGCGCGCTAGTTCCGCGCGTTTCCTTTCATTCTCCCCTCGAAAGTTTAAACGAGCGCTGCGATAGCGTTTTAAACAAGACTTCTTTTTTTTTTTTATTATTTTTCGTCAAACAGAGTACTTTGCCTCGCTCTCGACATTTTTTCGTTGCCCTCGCGTCGACTCTGACATCCGTTCGTACTCCAATTACAAAGCATCCCAGAGTAATTTCCTTCGCCGCTGAATTTCCGACGGTTTTTATTTGTCCGATATCAAATAGGTATAAAGAGGGAGGGGGAGTGTATGTTACGCGTCAAAATTTGACATTTTCCTTGAGGATAAAAGCGCGGAATTAAAGAAAGGAAAAGTATGAGTCGTGCATCAATAAATGGTTTCGTATTTAACAATGCGTATTTTAAATGGTAAAAATATTGATATCATTAACTGTAGAATATATTCAACATACAATATACATATATTTCACGTATATTTTCTGTATCGTTGTTCCTAATAAATGCACAAAATCCACAGCCTAGTCACGAGATTCAGCCAATTTTGCAACAACTAAAATTAACCGCCAAGAGAAATTCCAACGCGGGTGGGGATCGAGAGGATAACATTTAATTTACGATTTCAGTGTACGATTTGCATAACCCAGCTGCACATTTATTTATGGAAAACGTTGCTTTTTCTGCACGCGAGGCTAGTACGTCCGTTCTCTAATTAAGTCGAGATAAATTATGCATGAGTCACCCGAGAGTGACTCACCCGTTTCGTTTGATGTTTCCTCGCAGTTAGTCGATCGATTCTCGAATCGTGCACCGACCGCGTATTTCATAGCGCGTCCCAGAGCGTTCGATGCCCTCGAGAAAAATTACTAGAACCTTCCACCCCGTTCGGGCTGTGTTTATTTCCCGCCATTCTTCGTGAAACATTCAATTTCCATGTTTAAGTGGCAATATTGGCGAACTTACAGCTGTTTGCCGAACGATCCACCAAAGGTAGATGGTGCGAAGAACTTTCCAAGCGAACTCGAGGAACGGGTGGTTACAGAATTGAGTAGTCGATTAACGCTAACGGCAACACCAGATGATCGACGTTTGATTTAGAAGGTTGGTACAGTTCGACGGTGTCCGAAATTTTTTAAGAGAGTAACTTCTCTTATGAAAGGAGAATATTTGCTTAAGAAGCTTTCGCTCACTGGACCAACTCGTACGATACTAATTTGTCTCCTTGTTACTGAGTGTGGGAGGGGAGGGCACGGTCACCACGTAAACAAAGAAATTTTCTTAGCTTTAAATCCTTTAAATTCTTAGCATTCGATCGAATGAAATTTAATTTCTTGGGGTACAATAAAAACCAAGTACAAAGAATTAAAATTGACCCATTGACTCACAACTCACACGTTCGTGGCGCACTAGTAATTAGCCCTTAATCCTTTGATGCTTAATCCTTTAAAAGAGTAAAACTCGATCTGCCCGAAGTAACAACCCCACTACTTCCAATAAACTTCGACTCCATTATTTTTTCTCAATTTATTTCTAATAAATTCAGCCGACAATCCAAAAGGTGCGACATTTCCTAGCCCTTCTCTCCCCAACTCCAAAGGGTTAGATTCCTAGCGCCGATACCAAGGGACGATAGTTTGGCAAAGTCATCCGCCCCGTCCCTCAGCGAGGCCATAATTCACAGGTGAAACAGCGTACGTTAGTCGCGTGTATCGCGCGAATTTCCATGCCGGTTTACGAGCCGTGCAGCCCGTTACGACTCCTGGAAATTTCTCTCAATTATCCGTCGACAATGTCGAGTCAGCCTGTTTCTTGCGCAACCCTTGCGAAGGGAGTCGATACGCGAGCCATGCGTATTCTGGATATATGTATATACGTCGTTATTGCATCGAGCATAAATGCGTTTCCAGCTGCGAGACACGCATGCACGGACACGGTGAACGTGGATAAACGTTCGATAGGAATTACGCTCAAGTAACGTCGGATAAGGGATGTGACGGACGGATGCAACCTTTTCGAGGGACGAGGTCGACAAATATCACGGTAAATTAAAGTCGAGATGAGGTGGGAAAATTACGAAAATTTCTCTGAACAGTGTTTATTGTTTTATTTATGATGGTTTCATTATACTACGATGATGAATTTTTTGGTGAA